GAGGGCGGCGGCCGGCAAGGTGGAGGGGTCCAAACAGGTAACCGAGGCTTCCTGAGCAGGCTGGGGACTGGCTAACAATGGCAGTGCCATGTTGGCTGAACTACCGGTCCCTGTATCCCCTCTCCACGGACTTCACGGCCACCCTGTGAGTGATGGAGAGGGTAGGCGGGCAGAGCCGGCCCTTGCACCACCGGGCAGTGGGGCTGGAGCACAGCGAGCAGCAGCGCGCATGTGCGAGCTGGCCGGCTGCCGTGCTGGAGCAAGAGGGTGTTGGCGATCACAGCTGGTTGCCCTGGGCACGCGTTGGGTCACGGGTTGCAGTATGGGTTGTCTGAGTCATGGGAATCCAGCGGTGAACATGAGGCCGCGCCTGTGCACTGCAGCCACCTGGCTGACGCGCGTGCAGCGCTTCAGCCGCCATTTGCTGTTGCTCCCCGGCGTGGCAGGGTCGCGTAGTGCCGTCCTGGAGCCCTCAAGGCTGCTGCCCCGTTTTGCTCCAGTTATGTTTCTCCCAAAAAGGATCACAGAAAGCTACAAAACAGCTCTCCTGTATTACAGTTGGAGAATGTGGATTCTGCATAGCGTGGAGGCTGGTTTACAGGAAAGTCTCAGTGGGCTCTGTCAAAATCTGCTCTGCAGCTGTAGGGGCTGTGCAGAAGTGGGAAAAATGAGAATTGGTGAGGACCACCCTCCGGGAGACACAATGTTGAATACTGCCTTGCATGCCTGAGGGCTGCATACAATTTACAGAACAATCTTTAGCATAACTATTTGGAAAAGCAGAGAGACAGTGCTTTTGCTCATCTTTTTTGTGTCTATTTGAAATCCACTCTTGTGTTGGCTGACTTACAGGAATGCTTGAAACCCAAGGTGGATGTTATTTTATTTTATATTAATTCTGACTGTTCTGAAGAATGGGGAGAGTCATCAATCATCAAAACTTCACAGTCATCTAAATATCCCTTACGAAAATACAGGCTTCAGCATGTATATAATGTTGAGTTCATATTCCAAAAAAAAAAAAATGGGCAAGAGATCAAAAGCAAGAATGCATGTTTTGTGCCTGGCTTGAATAAATCACTTTCCCTCTCTGTTTTAGTTATGAAGGCATGCATTACTGATTGGTACACCCACAGCAACCCCTTTTAATTTGACAGACTTCTGTCATGTAACAAGCAGAATTTGATTCTTGTATTGTGGAATGCTCTGCTAGTGATGAGCTATATTCTGAGCTACTGAACATCGTATTTTACAAAATAGTGAGTTCTGACTATGCTTGTTCACTACTGACCCCAAAAGAGACCGCTTGCACAGATTAAGATTGACAGCAAAATACTAAAATAGAAATGTGATTATTATGAAGTATGGCACCACAGGCAATCTAAGGAGGCCAAAGTCTATGGCAAAAAATAGTTTCAGTTATGCAAGATTAAAAAAAAATGAAGAGAGCATTTTACCCTCTTGTTCAAGCCAATCCCTTAGAAAAATTTGTATCAGACTTTATAGATACTATGATGTCTTTTGTTTTAATAGCTGAAAATATTGATTTTTTTATACACAGTTCTAGCCTGAAATGAATTGCATAATATTACAAATTTCAAATCTAAAAATTGATTTAGAATCGTATGTAAGCAGGGAAGGCAAATGTAACAAAAGCAAGTGAGAAACATAAAGAACCTTTACCATTCATTAGTAAAACTCTTGAGGTGTGTGTGTGTGTGTGTATATATATATATACACACACACACATACATACATATACATATGATTGTTCATTCATGTAATGGCTGAAAATTATGTAGTGCTTTGCTTTTATTTATTTACCAGGAGTCTCCAAACTAGTGTTTTTTGAAGTTGCAGTATGAAACATGCCACTAATTTGAGAGGTCTACATCTGAGCTACTCAGCTCATAGTCCCTTCACAGTGAATGGTGATAGAGTTAAAATTCAACTGCGTTTAGGGCATGATCCATCTGATCAAATGCTGGGGTCTAACTTTGGACAGGATAAATGCTCCTCATATTTATCAGAGCTTGTAAGAGTCAAACCACACAAATAGCTTTTGCAAGCCACTCCCTTAACCTTAATGACAATGAAGGAGACTCTGGGAGGGTGGAGTTTAGAAAGGAGAATACATGCCATTAAGCTGCGTAGGAGGGCTGCCTTTGAGCGGCACCACCCACTCTTTCTGTGTTCTTGTGTGCTGTGCATCAGGCATAGCCCAAGATCTGAGCAGCACAAAATTGTATTTTAGCTGGTTTTACACCTTTTTTGGCTGATTTCCAAACATTTCAATCTGCAGCCAAGGATCTGGTCCTTGCTTCATTAAAAAGCATTTACATGTATGGAGACAATGTTGATTTGTCCTGTGCATGTCAATAAACATTATTAGGCTAGCAATCTCTTTGGCACAACAGTCTAAACTTACTGTTCCTCAAACTGCTAATATGCTGCCTAAATTGCATCTGTACAGAACAATTATCCAAAAACTAATTCTTGAAAAGTAGCAAAACCGAATTATCACATCACTATAAGACAACTCTTTAGGTTGGCTGTTTTGAATGTGTTTTATCACCACCCACTCATATTGTTTCCACACTTAAGAGCGGTGATCAGAATTCATTTTTCAAAGTTTGGCAGGCAGATTATCTTCCAGTTTCATTTCTAGAGCACATATACTTGGAAGATTTTGGAACTCACGATCTGCGGTATACAGAGACTCAGCATTGATTTTTTTAAGGCTTTCAGCTATATCCTTTCATCACGATCTTCGCTATTGGAGATGGGACTCATTTACAGAATTTTCAAAAGATCTCCGGTACTGCAAGTCTTCTCTACGTCGCCAGAGCTCATTCTCAAGGCTTTTCTTGGAAGGCCTTCCTCTCTCAAGCTAATTTTCTGAAGTTTACTGCCCTGCAATATCAATGCAGGCAAGTGAAAAAAATTGCTCTCTATACCCAGCAGCATGCCTTGCGGGTGCTGCAGGACATCCATTTGACAGATGACATGATTGCCTACTGAAAATATTGGGGAGCAGGGGCAGGGAAAGGAAGGTAAAGGACATGCAAAGAAGAAACAGCACAGGAAAGAAAAACAGCTTGTAGGAGGCACCATGTCAATAAATTCCTGCTCTCCACTGACCTACATTGGCAAAGACAACACTGTCATCTTCATAGCAAAGAAGGATGAAATTCGGTGAAGCCCTGTAATGATTTTCTCTGTGACTATCAGCAAAGCCCAGGCATCGTGTTGACTTACTTCAACAAAAACATAGCCCAGAGAAATAAATTATAAAAATGATACAGTTGAGAGGAGAACTGAAATCTATTGTTCTCTTGTTGTTTAGACACCACTTTGGTTTAGCACAGGCAGAAAACATGCAGAAAAAAATCTCAAGTGCTTTCAGATTTGCTGATCACAAGTGCAACACAAAAGCTAAATTTATCATTATTATTGTAATAAATCTGTGCCATTTAACACTGACAGGCAAAATACTACTTAATAGTTCCATGGACGTGTGGTTTTGCTTCAGGTTGTTGTAGTAGTCTCTGAATAACTTTGGAAAGTTTCCACATTCTTATTTTTCCCAGTTTTTTTTTTAACTCCATAGACATATTCTTTGCAAGTGCTGAGACACCAAGTAAGCAATTAATAATTATATGTCAACTTCAAGAATAATGGTTTTTGTGAGCCAGGTCCAGAAAGGTTCCATCTTCCTTCTTTCAATTTTGTTGATTAACCCAACTGCAGG